GTATTATTGCAGTGTTGACAGAAAGGTATAAAAACAATACTAAATGCTGCAGTGCAGAGAAGCGATCAGCGATTTTACTAACTCCAATCTCTTGAGATGAAGAAATTGAAAAATGCAGCTCAAACCAACGATTTCGGGGACCAACATCCACGAGAAGTTACCAGTCATTATGGACAACAGCAAATGCAGCCTACCGTAACATCATCATCCAGCGGACTGACTCGAGTGTCGATGTATTCAGAATACCCTTCTGTATCAAGAATTGGCACGCCATTATGCGAACGAACATCTCCGATGAAAGCCGGAATATCATCAGAACAGTGCACTGTAGATGAATCCTGAGGTTCGTACGAATAGGGAACGGCGCCGTACTTGCGCTGTCGTCCATCATTTGAGAAGTTTAGATGGAGTTTCTTTATTATTGTTGGACACAACCGACACAACTGAATTTGACTGAAAAAGTATGACGATGGAGTGCCCACATTTCCCTGTGGCATTTCAGCAGGAGGATTGAATTCAATGAGCTGAAGTAGAGCTGATGTGAGTGCGTAAGAATACGCTAAAACGAAACTAACCTACCATCCTGGTCCGACTGCACTGTGAATTCAATTGGAGTGAGGATACACTGATCACTCAACGGCAATTCATCCTCAGGGCTCAACCAGTGCGTATGGTTATACTGCTGAAGAAATCGATCGCATAGCTCTAGTTTAATAGATAACAAAGCACAGTGGCGTGACTTGTCGCGGCGACATCGAGTATTGATCGCGGACAATAAGACAGAGCTTTGAATAGATGAGTCTGTTGCGTGAAATGTCACCTGCGGTCGATGCCGGAAGTGAAAGCAGACGAATGCCGATCCCTCGATATACTGTGAGTAGAAATTGCGCAAGTGACATGCATGGTAAGCTGTCGGTATGTTGGATACATAGATGAAACGCGATTGGGAATTCATTCAAAAAATCAGAGCTGTCACATCTTCAGCATTTCCCAACATCTAGAAATAATAAGAGCGACTGTCATGTAAATGGTTCAATAATTTACCGTGCATAACAGCACGGCTTTGGGCCAAAAACGGCTACACATAATAAACCATAAAACGAAAGAAACGGATTTATATATAATCATGGAGATATTTAGGTGCTAGGAAGAATATGCGGTACCTGAGCACAGTTTGAGAAGAAAGGGCCTTGGTTGTAACAGTCTACCGCTAGGTCAGTCAGTTCTGTTCAGTTCAGTTTGCACAGGACGAT